GGCCAGCCTGGGCAAATTAGTGAGACCCTGTCTCAAAATTAAAAGGACTGGGACTGTAGCTCAGTGGTAGAGCAGCGCTAGGTTCAACTCCAATACTATTTTTAAAAGAAAGAAAAGGAAAATGAGTCCCTGAGTTTGATGGACATGCACATGTGTCTGCTTATGGATACAAATGCACTAAGTAAACACATATATTACGACCTCTGTGTCTGGTATGTGCGCTGTGCTTGGGTTCTCATGTTAGAGCACACGGGTGAGGTGTCTCCTGCCCCAGCTCACCCGACGGGAAGGGAGAGCGATGACAGAAAAACCCAGCTCTGTCCAGCCCTGGGGGCCCAGGCCTGTGCTCTGGAGGGCAGGCTGGCCCACGCACGGCACCTTTGCTCCCTGGGCTCCAGTACAGTGTCCGGCAGAGTGGGCACCACCAGTGTTTGCAGGCATGGCAGAGGCTGGAGGGGAAGTAGGGTGGCCCACAGCTGGGGTGGTGTATCTGGGAGGCGGTGACCTCAGGAAGCAGGAGGGAGGCAGGAAAGGGACAGTAAAGGAAGAAAGCAAATAAGCAGGCTCCTCAGGGGACACTAGGCTTCAGCGGAGAGGGGACCCACCAAGTGGCAGTGTGGAACATGCCTAGAACTGTCCCATCGTGGGCAAGCCAGGGTGTTTCTTCCCCGCCCGCCATCCCTCGTGGAGTGAGGGCTGCCCCTGGGGACATTTCCAGGTCTGGCCTGTCTGGGTGGCCCTGAAGTGTTGAGCAAGCTCCTGTGGTGCCGGAGAAAGCAGGCAGGGAGGGGGGCTGGGCAGGGTGGGAAGAAGCCCTCGGTACCGGGACAGCCCTCAGTAGTTGGGGCCATGCGTCACCAGCGATGGCTCCAGGTGAGTGTTGGAAGTGCAGACTCACAGATGGACACGAAGTGGACAGACACATGGACATGGGCACTGGTCTGGCCAGCCACACACCCCAGATTCACAAACCTGTGGCTCCTCTCCCTTCCCCACAGACCTTAGGGCCTGCGTGACTGTGCACACGCTGTCCCTTCCGCCTGGAATCCCACTGCCACCAAGCTGAGAGAGCCCTGTAGGAATCCAGCAGGCTCTGCTCAGATGACAGCTTCCGCACCAGCCTCCTAATCAAAAGGAATCCCTTCCTCCCTTCCTGGTACTTCCCTTGGACCCCAAGCCTGACACTTTCTGGCAGCCATCCAGTGTTGCAATAGATATAGTGGTGACACCTCTGTCCCCGCCAGCCCTGGGCTCCAGAACAAAGACATGTCTGGGTCACAGCTGCATCCCTGGTCCCGACAGGGAGCCCTGCGTGGAGTCAGAGCCCCATTCTCCCCATCTGTGACAGGAGTGCTCTTCATACCCACCTCATCATGGTGTGGTCAGGGTCGATAAGTTCATATGTTTATGTCATTGTGCTGGGGACCAAGCCTGGCACCAGCTGAGCACTCAACCAGGGTCAGTCATTCATATCAACATGGTTCAGGGGAACTCAGAAGGCCTGGGGAAGGAGTTCCAGCTGCTGCAGGGTGCCCAGGGCAGCCCCATATCACCCCCTCTACCAGGCTTGGGAAGGGCCACACAGCTAGAGGAGGCCAAGCCAGTCTGTCCATCCACAGTGCCCACGTCCCCTCTGTACCAGCTCTTTGTCTCTGAGTCTTCCTCTCCCTCTCTTCCCTCCTCCTGAATGCTCCAGCCAGGTATGGCTGCCAGAGGTGGTTGAGCGCAGGCAGGAAGGCGCAGGCATTAATTTTTAGTAAACCTGGGATTGAGTCCTAGCCTGACACTTGCCAGCTATCTGTTGGGCCTGTGGTCTTTGCTCCCTGGGCCTCAGTTTCCCCACTATCTCCCGAGGACATCGGGGACATTCTCCAAGTGCAGATTTGCCGTGACTCTAGAAGAAGTGTTAAGTTTCTGAGCTCAGGCACAGGCCCTTTCAAATCAAAATCCACTTTCATAAGTAAAGTTGTATTTTGAGTCTTTTTACTTAAACATGGACCTCCTGAGGGTGGGGCTCAGAGGAGAACACGTGCTTAGCCTGTGTGAGACCCTGGGTTCCATTCCCAACACCAAACAAAGAAAGGGAAAAAAAAATGGATCTTCCAAGTATAATCTTCAGGCTCCCAAGTCAATCTGCCCCCAAGACTCTATGAAAGACCAGGACAGGATGGCAGAGCATCTGTCCCCTCCTCCCTGCCCTGCCCGGAGGCCACTGCTGCCCAGTGTCAGGTCCTGTAGCACAGGTGGGGACACAAGGGCCTGGAAGGATCTCCTGGCTCACAGAGGACCACACAGTAAGTTAGTGTCAGAGCTGGACTCAAACTCATGTCCCCAGCGGCAAGACCAGGCCTCCTTGCTCTGCTACCAGGAAGTGGGTGCAAGGGGATAGCCTGGGGTGGGACCTGTCCTCCCCCACGAGTGCTTGGGGCTGTGGCTCAGGGAAAGACTCAGTCCTCTCCAGCCCGGAGACAGGGGCAGCTGTGGTTGGGGGTGTCTAGGGATCGCTGCTAAAATAAGTAGCGGCTTCTCTGAGAGGCCTCTGTGGTCTGTGCAGGGGAAGGAAATGCAGCCCCGGAAACGGGCGAGAGCAAAGGGGCGAGAGGCCCAAACTGCGCGGGGCACTCCTCCCCACCCAGACACGACACTGGGCCAGACAGAATGCCACCCTGAAGGCCGCCCCAGGAGGCCTGGACGCTCAGGCCCAGTCCTGACACAGCTGTCCAGAGCAGCAGTGGCCCAGGTCCTGCCCTGGTCACAGCGTGGCCTTCCTGTGTCCATTTCCATTTGCCTGGAAGGTCCGTCCTTCCCTGCTCTCTCCTCTGAGACCCACGCCAATGTCACCTGTCCTGGGAGGTTTTCCCAACCACTTGCTAGACACACACACACACACACACACACACAGGCGGAATCAGGCGCCCACAGGCCCCCATCACAGTGGTTTGCTGTGACCTCTGGTGTCTCTCAGGTGCGTCACGGTGGCAGCGTGTCCAGGACCGCCCCGTGGGGACCAGCACACTGAATCTCGGCCACAATGCTGCGTTTCTATCATAGCTTCATTTTACAAGTGAGTAAACCAAAGCTCAGAGCCAATGAGCAACTTCCCCAAGGTCACACAGTCAGAAAATGGCCATGCAGGGCGTGTAACCCACACCTGACTCCACAGCTGGGTCACTTACCAGGCATCGTCCCCTCCAACCAGGATAGGAACGGAGCCCGCAGAATTGTGCAACGCACTGAGGCGACTGCACTATCATCACCAGCAGGGATAAACTTTCAGTCTTTGCTCTTGCCTGGGGTAGCTGGGAGCTATAGAGTGCTCCAAGGGAGAGGGAAAACCCAGTTGTACTGAGAGAGGATTTCTGTGTAAACATATCTGGCAAAATGAGTGAAGAGATCTCAGAAATCTCTCCAAGCTTCCATACTGCCTGGGGTTTTCTTTTTCTTTTTTCTGGGTACCAGGGATTGAACTCAGGGGCACTCGACCACTGAGCCACCTCCCCAGCCCTATTTTGTATTTTATTTAGAGGCAGGGTCTCACTGAGTTGCTTAGCACCTCCCTGTTGCTGAGGCTGGCTTTGAACTCGCGATCCTCCTGCCTCAGCCTCCAGAGCTGCTGGGATTACAGGGGTGGGCCACTGTGCCCGGCTCTGCCTTGGGTTCTCCTTTCTCTTTCTAAATTAGTACTCATTTTGAATCTAATTTTATATTCTATTTCAAAAGAAGGGCCTCACAGAATGTAAAACTTCAGGCTCGGCAAACCCTAGCCCTGCCCCGTGATGAGCCACTGCCCCACCCGCCCTCCCCAAGGCCTGCAGTCACTGTGCTGGGTTTTCTATTAATGGATCTGCCCCGACCCTGCTCTCAACACCAGGGCTGTGAGCTCCTCACGGGAGCGAGCCAGCCTTGGTTTCCTGGCACAGAGAGACTGTTGAAATGGGGGGATGAATGGAAGAAGGTGTCCCCTTCAATGCCACCAGTAAGTTCCACTCCAGCTTTAACACTCTAGGCCCCTCTCCCTCAGTGCCAGCCTGCCAAGGCACTGACCATGGCTGAGCCTGTGGACCGGGAGCCCAGGACAGTGTCTGTCGAGGAGACCAGAGCTCCTCCTGCCACCCTCTAGTCCTCAGGTGCCCTCGGCAGGCCCACGTGGCCCCTCAGGGCCTCGGAAGCCCCGACGGAGGCCCCCTCTTGGCGGCTGCAGTAGGTCACAAGTGCCTTGAGAGAAGGAAGTGGAGGTGCTAGTGGGGGTGAGTCACAGGAGGTCCTCTGGGAGGGACTGGGGCCACCAGTGGCAGGTGGGGTGGGGAGGCAAAGGCTGGGAGGGAAGAGATGCCAGAGTGAGGAGCCTTCGCAGCCTCCTCCAGGGAGACCCAAGTCACCTCCTCCCCTCCCAGGCCCTGGGGTCTTCAGCTGAGGGCACACGCCAGGAGACACTGTCTCTTGTCCTTGGGTCTCTGAAGGGATGTTAAGGGGACAGAAATTATATGTAGTCTGCAAGAGGGGACAGATGGAGCCAGGAGGTGAAGTCAGGAAGGCTGACCGCCTGAGTGGTGGCCAACGGCAGGTGAAGCAGCCCCCAGAGGTGGTCAGGGGGTTTGCTCAGGACTTGAGCCTCTGACTGGGAAGCCCAGCTCTTCCCCTCACTAGCTGCAGGGTCCCAGGCAAGCGGCCTCCCCTCTCCTCCCTCGGCCTCCTCTATGTCACCTGGCCCATGGGCTGGTTCATGCTGTGGACCGACTGTGGTTGGTCCCCACCAAAACTCACATGGAGGTTTCGTTTCCCACGTGTGGTACTGAGGCCTTTCAGACATCTGGGTCCTCAGGGAGCTATGCTTTTCTCCAGAGCATGTTGTTATAAAGCAGGTCGGGTACCTCAGCTCAGCGTGGGAACCCCTGCTGTCACATACACTCCCATAATGTAATGCCACCCACCATGTTGTGACACAAGATGAGGCCCTCACCAGACGTGGCTACCTGATCTTGGACTTTCGGCCTCCCAAACTGTGAACTAAATGAACCTGTGTTTTTTCTTTATGATACAATTAAATTAAACCCATTTTGTGGTATGATGAGATTAAATTCATTTCATATGCAACATGCACGCAGGACTGCCTTGTCCAAGGAGACCCTCGAAAAATGATGATTGTCTCAGCAGGTCGATCTGAAGTGTTCTAGGTTTTAAGCAGAAGGAATTTGATACCAGGGCTTGATCCACGACACTAGAAGAGCTGAGAAAAAGAAAAACAGGGATGGGGCACCCCGGAAATGTGCCTTTTCAATCATAAAATGAGCATAAAAATGGTAACATCCTTTGTTTTAGAGAATTACGTAAGATAACGTATAGAGTCTTGTAGATCTCTGGCTCAGAGTAAGGACTCCACAGAACTGCCCAAGGCACTTACACAGCCCCTCAGTTCTCACAATAGTTTTCAGAAACAGATACTACTGTTGCTATTACACCCATTTCACAGATGAGGAGACTGAGGCACAGAGAGATTGATTCAGATGATCAGCAGGTACAGAGCTGACTTGAACCAGGCCATTGGGCTCCAAAGTCCTTCCCTTGGCCACTGTGCTCCCCATTTAGCCATTGGTGGTCCTCTCCTCCACTGGCCCCGCCCTGGTCCCTTGCCTCTCTCCTCAGAATATGACCCAGGGCCTCAGCCCAGGTTGGTAACAGCATTTGCCCCCAAATGTAACACCTGATCCCAGACTTAGCCCCTTCCTCCCAGCCCCCAGGTCCCGCACCCACCCGTGTTTGGGCCCTTGCTCTGCCATTCTCGAGCTCTGGGGCTTGGAGACGACACTGTTTCCTCAAGGTCTTGGCTTCCTCAGCTGCAGCTGGGGGAACCTTGCCCTGAGTTTGCTGGATGGTGGGGGGCAATATGAAGCCCCACTCGGGGAGCACCGGGTCCTGGGGATGCTGCCAAACATTTCTTGCTTTTCCCAACAAGTTTGCAGGCCCTGCGGGGTGCCCCTGGCAGGGTGTGTGGCCTGGCCTGTTTGCTGTCCACTTTCCCCAGGCTCCTTTACCTGCTACGCTGGGCCAATGGGAAGCGCTGGCAGGAGACTGCAGGGGAAGAGGAGGAGGGAAGTCAGGATGCCTCTTCCCCCATCTTAATGAGTGTGGTTCCAGCTCCCCCACCATGGTCCAAGCTGCCCTCAGGCAGTCTCCCCACCTCCTCCTCTAGTCCCTCCAGCCCCAGAGTGGTGGCAATGTCTGGCACTGAGGGCACGGAGTTGCCTCGCTGTTTGCTGGTTGGCTTCTCAGCTCTTCCTTCGGCCTAGAACCAATACCCTAGATTAAATTCCTCTGTTTGAAATACCGGGAGTGGCTTCTGTTCGTCTGACTGGCCCTGATCACAGAGGGTGTCCAGGCTGTCCTTCTGCCCTGGAGTGTCCCCCTTTCTCCATCCCTAGTCTTTATCCTGGAGGGTCAGAGGCAGCCCCTGAGGTCCTGCCCCCTGAGGCTGGCTGCAGGAAGCACCAGCTCCTTCACGCTCTTTGCAGTGGGCCCGTCCCGAGGCAGACAAAGCCTTCTGAGGCCAGCACTGACTGTCCCTGTGTGCTGGCACAGATCAAGTGTGTGACCGTGCTGCTGTGCCACCTCTTTACTTATCCTTCTGAAGGGTGGCAGGAGCTGCTGAGAGCAGAGGAGAGAAGAAAGTGATGAAGGAAAAGAAGAAGGACCTTCCTGCCCTCTCCAAAGAGCCCCGAGCAAGCATTTAGCAAGCTCCCTTCTCCCTCAGAATCTTCCCCAAGACCAGCCCAAACCAGCCCTAAAGGGAATGCAGTCTTTTTGTCCCCTGGTCCTCAAGAAGGAAGGGAGCCAGGGACAGACTCCTCCCAACGAGTACAGGGTGTTCCTTTTTCCAAACCAGTGTCACCGGGACTCCTTTTGGAGGCTGTTCTCAGGGGTCCTCCACCCTGGTCCCTGAACTCCTCTCCACCCTTCCAGAGCCCTGGGCAGAAGTCGCTTCAGCCAGTCCCCTGCCTCCAGGCCAGATGGAAGGCTCCAGCAAATCCCTCAGGGCCTTCCTGAGGGACGCAAGTGCTGGGTACCTGGCTCTGTCTGTCACTCAAAGTCTCCTGTCACTTGCCCAGGGACTGAGACAAATTCTAAGTTTTCTGGGTTCTCATTTTCCCCATATTTGAACATTCTTTGGGGGCACTGCTCTCAAGCCACCAGGATGGTGGGAAGAGCCTGAGAACTCCTCCTGTCCACGTTCGCCTTTCACAGTACAGGTGGGGAAACTGAGGCTCAGAACAGAGACTTGCTGGAAGCCTGAGAGCCACTGGCATGTTATGGGGAACAAAGGAGGTGACACGTGACAAGCTAAGCCAAAGCCCCAAGGACATGTGTCCCACAGGAGAATTTGTATGAACATCCATACATCATATGCACTCACGGGTACAAAAAAGGCCACACATGTTCACAAACCATCACCTCCACAGACACCGTGTGCTCAGCACCCGGGGCTCACATGGTAAACACGCCATAACACACGTGTGTCCCAGGGGTACACATGCCCCCCCACTGTGCACATATATGCACATGTGGGTTTTCACAGAAACCACATGTGCACTCATCAGCACACACACAGAGCCGCACGCTTATCTGTGCCCCTGTAGAATCACACCTGTGTGCAAAATGTCACATGCATAGCTCTGCCATGTGTCCAATGCAAATAACTGACACACACAGACACTCGTCAGTGGACCCAGGTGTCCTCACACTGGAGGGCACATATCACAGTCCCACAGACTTGTGTGCTTCCCTCAGCACAGAGCACAACCCAGATTGCCCCCTACTGTCACTCCCACGTGGGTGACCATGGCCGTGTGCACGGTGCCCCCACAGCTCACACCATGTGCAGATGCAGCATACACTGTCCCATACAGAGGGCTCTCCTGGGCCAGGCTCCTGCACTGTCCCCACAGCCATGTGTGTGACCCCTTCTTGGTGGGAGCCTCCTCATGGAACTCAGAGCCACTTCGTGGGGTCCTTGGAACTAGGAGAGCACACTACCCACCTACCCCAGCCCCAGCCCCTAAACTGGGTGGCCTGCATTCCGGGGGGTGGGGATGCTGCCCAGAACTCAAAGTCCTGGGGCCGAAGTCCTGTTTGCAGGCGGAAGTTGCCCAACCTGCCTGGGTGACTGGTTTATTGTCTTCAGCTTCCGCTTGGCTGCAGGCCCAGGCCCAGCCAGCGACCTGAGTCTCTGGGAGAGGGTGAGGGCGGCAGGCAGCTCCCTCGCCCCAGGGGTCTGGTGGCCACAGGTCCCCAGCCACGTGTGCTACACGCCCGAGACTGAGAAGCACAGGACTTAGAGCCCAACCTGTCCTTCCCCAGATGGAAACCAAAGGCCAGGGAAGGCAGTGGGCTTGCCCAGAGTCACCTGGTCAGCTGGGCTCCAGCAGAACTCCATTTTCCTTCCCTACCCTTTGTCAAAAGGTGGCCCAGAGGCCTGGGTATGGCTGAGCAGGGCCACTCTGTGTGCAAAATGAAGGGACCTCTGTGAGAGTGCAGCACCCTCCCCCCCCCCCCACCTCAGCTATGTCCAGTCACCAAAGATCATATTGCCACATCACCAACCCAGGGAGCTCACCAACTCTATCCTGACTTGAAGCTGTTTATTTTCTAATTTGTAAGATTTCCAACAGTGCAGCACACTATAGGGATGCAGCCACACCCATGTTTATAGCAGCAAGTCACAATGGCCAAGCTATGAGCCGGCCCAGGGCCTGTTAACAGAGGACTGGATAAAGAAAACGTGCCCATGTACACAGTGGAGTATCAGGTCATAAAGAAGAATGAACTTACGGCATTCGCTGGCTCATGATGGAACTGGAGATCATCATGCTAAGTGAACTAAGCTGGACTCGAAACCAAAGTCCAAGTGTTTTCTCTGATTTGAGGAAGCAAGTCCAAAATAAGAGGGAGAAGAGAGAGAGAGAGAGAACGAGAGAAAGGGAAAATGGGGGGTTCCATCAAAATAAAAGATCCGTGGACTAGGTGAAGGGGACCGAGGGGGAGGAAGAAGGGACGGGCGAAGGGGACAACAGAGGAATGAATCTGACCTAACTTTCCCATGTACACGTATGAATACCCCACAGTGCAGCTCCCCATCCTGTCTATCCACCATCTTTAACTAACAACAACAGGGGCTGAGGATGTGGCTCAAGCGGTAGCGCACTCACCTGGCATGCGTGCGGCCCGGGTTCAATCCTCAGCACCACATACAAACAAAGATGTTGTGTCCGCCGAAAACTAAAAAATAAAAATATTTAAAAAAAAACTAACAACAACAAAAACCTGTAAGTAAACAGCAGAAAGACCAGTAGAGAGAAGGGAACAGGAAGGGAGCAGAGGAGAGAGAGGGGGAGTCCTAGGGACTGAATTAGAGCAAACAGATTCCATGCTTTTATAATTATACCAAAATGAATCCTAACATTATGTATAACTAAAAAGAACCAATAAAAAAATTTCCAGCAATGTGTCTGAGATGAGTTGGTGAGGCATCTGAGGGCCATGGGAGGGAAGTCAGGACTGGGCCATGGCTGACTGGCCCCGGGTCTTTATTCTGATCCCTCTGGAGGCAGCAACAGGAAGGCGGGGGTAAGCCAAACGGATCATTCCTGTGTAAGGGTCCGGCGAAGCGTCGGAGGAAGAGACCACCAAGGGACCGCGACTCATGCAACAGCAAGTGGGGTTTATTGAGATTCCAGCATGCTGGGGCTCCGTGCTCACTCAAGAAGGGAAAGCAGCCCAGAGCCCAGAGCAGGGGTTGTGCAATGCTTAAGTACACTTTTTGGGGAGGGTGGGACTTTACATACATCACAGTCTCCTTTAAAAAATCATCATACACCGCGGGAAAATCAAACAACAATTCTTAGACTTGATTAGTACATACATTGGCGGGAACAGGTCGGGTGGGGGTGATAGGTCAGTTCTAAAGCAGGGTACACATTCAAACTGATTGGTTCAGGCCCTGCAATGCCTACGTGCAAGACCACACAGAGCCCTTAAGTTATTAAACAACCAGGCGATCAGGGGGAATATCTACTGGGCAGTTCGAGTATTGTCTCAACAGCTACAGGAATTTCAGGTTTTGCATGTAGCATAGGAACTTAACAATACCCAGTCCTTTACATTTTAACTCAGGCCTTGCAGCTTAGAAACTTTACAATGCCCGGTCTTTTACCCTTTAACTTTTACACTTTAACTTCAATTTCTTTTACCCTTACACCTGAAAATTCCAGAAATCTTCTGAAGTTAATAAAAACCGTGCCACAGCTGCCTGTTTCCCTCTGTCCCTCCCTCCCTCTGTCCCTCCCTTCTCCCCTCCACCCTTCCTGCCTCAGTTCATCCAGTTGGGTGGTGGTGGCCTTGACAAGGTTGGGTCACACTGGCGTGGGCCAGCAACCTCCAAGTTTCAGAGATGGGTCTGTGCAGGGGACGGAGGACATGGACCGCTCATGGATGAAAGGGCCAGGTTCCTCCCTGATGAAAAGGGGAGCCATGAACATGGCCAGAGGAAGCTCGTGGTCTTGGACTGGAATCAGGACGATGGGTGAGAACGCGTGGTTGGAGGTGTGTGTGTGTGTGTGTGTGTGTGTGTGTGTGCGCGCGTGTGTGGTGTGACCCAGCTTTTGTCACCACGAAGGTAGCAGTGACAACATCTTTCTTCCCTAACAGGGGACCAGGCTTTCAGAGGACCAGCTGATTTCCAGCTGGGGCAGGGAAAGCGCAGGTGAGCCCGCAACATCGGTCGTGCCAGGAGGTAGAGAATGACGGGGACATGTCGGGGAAGCACAGGGACCCACTGCAAGGGGCTTTCTCTGGCCAAGTGTGGTTTGAACATCAAAGAAATAACCATAGCAATGGATTGTAACCCACTGAACAAATAAGTGCATAAATGAATGGTCAGAAGAGAATGCCAAGTAATAAAAAAGGAAAATTACCCTTTGGCAACTGTTAGAATAATTATCATTTCAGCTAAGAGACTTTGAGGACTGCTAAACCCAGGGTGTGGACGGAAGGAGGAAGGGGGTATTTGTTTACAAAAGTAGCAAAGTGACTTGACAGTGAGAAAGTTGACCTAAGAGTTAACATCGCCAGAGTCGAAAAATCAATGCTGGGTGCCTCGGGTAAGGTACATTGAGAAGAGCACACCATCACCCCGGACAGTCCTGCCCAGGGGGCAAAGTCTGGGCATAACCATGAGAGAATGTTCTATCAAAAAACCCTGCCTCGTTATCCTCCAAATATCAAGGATGTGGAACTCAGAGCGAGACAGGGGGACTGTTCTGGGTGGAAGGAGACAAGAGATGCCAGGTTGGGTCCCCTTCTCTAGGTGAAACTTCACTGCCAAGTCAGGATGGAGGGCGCAGGGAGCTCTCTGTACTATTCTTGCACATTTCTGTAATCTGAATATTTTAAAATGAAATTATTTTGAAATACTAGGAAGTACAACTTTATAGTGTTAAAGGAGGGTCCTGGGTGTATATTTTCAAGAAAAGGAGGAAGCAGAAGGATTATCTGATAAACTCACCTTCTTGGGGAGTGTTTGAGACAATTTGGGGATGGACACTTAGAAACACACACACACATACACACCACACACACACACACACACACACACACACGAAATGCATTTCGAGCTAAGCAGCAAATTTTGAAAATTTGTTGACTATTTAAGGAAATCTGCAAAAGAAACCTCCAAATGCTAAAGTGCTGATAAAACAGGACGTTACTTTTTCAGGGATGTAGGGATGTAGTGGTCAGCTTTCGTATCCGTAAAAAATACCTGAGATAATCAACTTATAAAGAGAAAAGGTTAATTTGGGTTGGCCCCAAGGCTTTGGGCTTGAGGCGAGGCAGCACATCATGGAAGGAGCATGTGGAGGAGGAAGCAGCTCGCTTTGTGGCCTGGATGTGCAAGAGAGAGAGAGAGAAGAAGAGGAGGAGGAGGAGGAGGAGGAGGAGGAGGAGGAGGAGAGACCAGGGCCCACTTTCCTTTGAGAGCCTGCCTCCCCAATGACCTAAAAGCTCCACTAGGTCCCACATGTATGTCCTTTCCTCCCTCTCTCTCTCTCTCTCTCTCTCTCTCTCCCTCTCTCTTGCTCTCTCTCTCCCAGTGCCAGGGATGGTACCAGGGCCTGGCACATACTGAACAAATGCTCTGCTATTGACCCACACCCCTAGCCTTAGCCCCACCTCTTTAAGTTTTGCCACCCGCCCCAATATGACAAGCTGGGGACAGCAGGTCTTCAACACATGGGCTTTTGTCAGGGCCAAATTATAATACAGGGATTTTTTAAAAAATAAGTAAAATGAAAAATTCCCTACAATGCTATGAAGAACATACCCATAAGATAACATTTAAGAAGAATAAATGCTTTATACTCCTTTGCTTTAGAAACATGGGATAATCCCTGAAACACTGCTCAGGAAGGGACTTTGTCTATTAGAAGAATGTATACGGAACATAATAAAGAGAATATTTCTTAAATAAGCTTCTGGAAATGTTGGTCAAGGTGGTAATATGGGGCAGGGTCCTTTAGTGAGTTTTGGAGAAGTACCTTTTACCATGTTGGCTTTGGGAGGTCTGACGGCTTCCCTTGTACCCAATCCAGGTGCCCCTTCAGGACCCAGACCTGGCCTAGGCCATGCAGGCCAATCACCCAGGCCCCTGTGGATTCCATTGGCAACCTCCCTGGAGGAAAGGACTCCTGTTCCTTCCCTCAGCCCTTGGTGACGTCAGTTCATAGCCCCATTTTATAGATGATAAAGTGGAGGTTTGGAGAAAGGACTTATAGCCAAAGACTAACCAAGCTGGACTTGGAGCCAAGTTGACAAACTCCAGGGTTATCTCCCTGCCCCTCACCCCGCGCATCTCCCACCTGCTGGCTCCAGATCTAATTAGGGCCTTGCTGGCCCCTTGGATGGGCCGGGAGGTGGTGTGTCATCAGAGCATGGGATTCTAGAAGCTCCTGCCATATGTCATTATGTCTAATTACTTGAGTTCAGGCTTCTGCGTGGGCTGGTGGAGCCGGAATGTCTCCATGCCCAGGTGGCTGGGGAATTTCTGCAGCCAAGAAGTGGGGCAGAGCTGCTGAGGGGTCCTCGCCATGTGTTCCCACCTCTGCTGCAGGAAGCTGGGCCCCAGGACCCTCATGGAAGCCTAGAGGAGGCCTGGAGCAGAGAGTGCCATCCGTCCATGCCATGATGGCCATTCTTAACCTCACTCCAGCCTGGCAGGGGAGGGAAGAGACATCCCTGCACTCCTCAGCCATCCACAAACAGGCAGCCAGACACGGAGATGTGGTTCTGGAACGTGTGTCCGGACCTTGGAGTGCAGAGCTGCTCACATCTCCACCACCTCCACTAGGTGCTCATTTGGGGGTGGGGGGGAGGGCGAGTGAGGGGAAGGTGGGATCCCAGGCCACGCTGGCAGAGACGGCTGACGGAAGCCACCTTTTGTGTATGTTCAATAAACAGGTGTGAGTGGTTCTGTGTGCCAGCCATTGCTCTAGGCAGTGGGTTTTTAAATCAAAGTTCCCATCCTCAAGGAGTTGGCTTTCCAAATCCAGGGATGATGACCATAGAAATAAGTGTGTGACGTACCAGGAGGTGGCAGGTGGTATAAAAATGCAAGGGGAGAAGATGGCTGAGGATGGTGATCTGGCTGGAGACACAGCCAAACCATTCTTCCCAAACCCAAAGGGTAGAGGGACAAATCACTTTGGGGGTAGAAAAAATGGAGCCCATCACTCAGGTTGTTGCCTCTTCTCTTCTTCTTCTTCCCTTCCTTCCTCTATAACCATCCTTTTCCTTAAAATTTTGAATATTTAAAACAGTCAGAAGGTATGAAAAGTTACTTGCCAAATATTCACGTACACACTACCCCTCATGTTAAAAATAAATATTTAGATCTGTAAACAAAACAAAATCAAAAACTTACAAATACAATCCATGCTTCCTGTATTAGTCAGGAAAGTCTAAGTTATGCTGAGGTAACAAGCAAACTCCAAAATCTCAATTGTTTTAAACTACAAAGGAGTATTTCACTCTCATTCTCTGTATCCAGTGAGGGTTGATGAGACAGGGCCATATTTGTTGTAGTCTCTTAGGAATCCAGGCTGAGGGATGCTCCCCTGTTTTATGATGCTGTCATCTCAGCAAAAG